ACTCACTACAGGGTGTGTGTGTGTGTGTGAGAGAGAGAGAGAGTGAGAGAGAGAGAGAGAGAGAGAGAGAGAGAGAGAGAAAGAGAGAGAGAAAGGGAGGGAGAGAGGAGAGAGAGAGAGAGAGAGAGAGAGAGAAAGAGAGAGAGTGAGAGAGAAAGGGAGGGAGAGAGGGAGGGAGGAGAGAGAAAGGACAGATTTTTCAACAGGGATAGCATATTTATTCTGAGTGTGAAGTGTCTCTGAGATGATGTTCTCCTGGACATAAAAGTGTTGCTGTCTGTTTTTACATTTTCATTACTCTGTAGGCATACTTCATATTTTGATCTGAAAAGCACAGACACTTTATCCATGTGCTAAAGTAAATAGTAACTTTTCCCGTTTATCATCTTAGTGTCCCTGGAAGACTTTAAACCGAAAGGATGCTGTCATAATGTGTTTTTTTTCTCCCTCCTTTTTTCCCCCTCTAAAGCAGGAAATGTAACATAATGAGTTGCATAGATTTAATTCCATTTTAATGCTGATGTGCTGTCATGAGCCATCAATGCAGCCCGTCTGTTACTTTGCATGTATGATGGGATTTATGTAAGGCGGCTGGCATTTTTAATCACTAGACAGTCTAGGGAGAAGGCATGTGCATCCACAGTCATTCTGGGTGTAAGAAAATAACTGTGTGTTCAGATCCTGTTGACACCGTTTCCTTGGATGTGGTTTGAAAAGGACCAATGTATTTCATGACATTTCACTATCAGTGTATTTACGAGGAGGCCAGCCTGACTCACTTGCTCTGTTAATATGCCCATGCTTCACAACCTGATCAATGCTGTTTCTTTGCCTTAACGATAGAAGAAAATCCCTGAACTCCTAATTTCTCAAGTCTATCCAAGTGTGTCTTGTTTAGTGGCCAAGATTGTGAACCCAACTGGCTCATTTATTCTGACTTTGAGACATTGCTCTGTTTTGTTTGTTTGTTTGTTTTTGTTTTTAAATTTTCACTTTCCTCTGTATGAAGTGGAATAATTGCATTGCTTTGTAGGGAATGGGAAAATTGCCTTTGAAAAGCAGCTAATAAGAGATGAGCCCACACTAGGTGATCAGTGAAGTCTAACTGTGGTCATTGGTCATTGCTTACAGTGATGATGTCACAGTGACAGCTCCTTGCAGACATCTGGATAGTCTGAAATTCCATGGCAGGCATCTGACGTAATCTAGATGAAGGCCGAGAAGGTGTTTCTCTGTTGGGTGTAGGGTACAGTACCCCACTTCTGTCCTAAGGAACATACAACTACATGCAGCCACACAAGGCTTGGCAGCTCTTTCGACAGGACTGGGGAAACAGTGCAGACAGGAGGGCCTGAGGGGAACAGCTCAGCCCAACTGAGAGGGAACTAGAGAAACCAATGCAGAAAAACATAGGGTCTTCGGGCCTGTTTCTTATCACAAGGCTTCACTAGTTAGCCCTGGTTGGTCCCCAACTAACTGTCCCCCACCTCAACTCCCCTAGTGTTGTATCCTCAACACTTTTTTCAGCATTTTGAAGCAAGAAAAAAGTTGCCTTTGTGACCTATAAATGTTACTAATGTGCCATGATGAGGGTAAGACATTGATTAATTGTCCAGGTGTCTGTATCTACGCTGGGTAAAGATGAAAGGAATGGAGAAAAAAATCATGTTATAGATGCACAGTAAACACATTCTGTAGCCATAAAAATTATCCGCTTTAAATAATGTTTAATACTATAGCAAAGTATCATGGGATTAGGTTAAATAAAGAGAATTTCAAGTACATGTGACTTTATGTAAGAAGATTATGTAGCGCTATCACAGAAAAAGATTAATCCCAAGTGCTTCAACGTGTTAATAATCACTCTTTCTAGTGAAATTCTATGTTTTTCTTTATTTATACTTTCATGGATTTTCAGAACTGCCTAAAATGGTTATGTAGATTTTTTTATAAGCAGGAAATAATTAGCAATAAAATACAAAGACTAGAATGAGAATTGTGATGTAGGTCCATATAGAATTCAAAGGCAGATGGTTTGGGGGTGAGTAGACTAAATTCATATGAACATGTTCTGCTCAGTAGAAGTTAAAGTTTCACCATGATGATTTTGTTTCTCAGGTGTCTAGTGCCGCTGATGCCCACACCCACCTGGAAAGTCACATGTTCAACATTGCAATCTTACCTCAGGCACCTGAGGCACCTAAACTCTCCTTGGGGACATCTCTCCATATGACCGTGAGTTGAATGGGAGGGCTAATGCTTTCCTCTTAGACAAAGTACCTTCTCTTGCAAAAGCAAAGTGAGCTGGTGCCCTGGTGTGGGATGTAGTAAATGCTTGGCCCAAAACCAGACCCTAAAGCCAATAAGGACAGCCCTAAAAGACATTTCTCACTAGCTTGAAAAAGGAAATTAGAGTCCCCTCAGAAAAAGAAGATTATGTAGATCTATCTTGACCATCCACCCATTGTCCCTTGGCTTTCTTCAGAACCTGATACAGCTACAGCATCTCTCCTTGGGTACTTGAAAGAAATTTCATATTATCAGCACTTCTAGGGTAAACTTATTTTTTTGCCATTTATAACACCTAGCTGGAGAAGCTGTTCTTCATGTTATAAAGCTCTACAAGAAACTTGAGTTTCAAGTGTAAGAGTGTCCTGGAGAAGGCGGTGTCAATGCTGAGTCCAGGGAGATAAGTAGCAATTAATTATCCACATAAAAATGAGAACAAGGAAGGTAGGTAGAATGAGGGAAGATGACCAAGGGCTTTCAGAGTACACGGAGGACCCAGAGGTGAGAAAGCTGATGATTACTGAGAAATGGCAGATAGTTCAGTCACCTGGAGAAATGAGGAAAGCAGAGTGGGGGTGTGGAGATCATTGCACCCAATCCCAGAAAGCCTGTGTGCTCTGTGGAAGTGAATGTAGCCCATGGAAAAATCTAGCACTTGTGTCCAACTATGGCCTATTGGATGCATGGAGCTGAGAATAGCTTTAAATACAACCCAAACACGGAAATCATAATGCCGGGACTCTTGCCAGCTTGAGCACAGCAAACATGGCTCTGGCAGACCTTGCCCTTCTCCCCTATTCCCACTGACTTGCTAAAAACTGTTAGATTACATTCCTAAAGCTAGCCACCAAGGTCTGTTCCCTTATTTGTCCACTTCTTCCTTCTGAGGCTGACTACCAAGGTCCAGCTATCAAAGTATTGAAGTTAAGCAATTAAAACCTCCTTTGGCTCAACTAATTAACATGCCCAATTACAATTAAACAACTCTTCCTAACATAAGGTTTCCCCTTACACCTTTATAAACTGCCATTTTCCTATGAGCCCCATCTGTCTCCTCTTTATTCAAAGGCAGTCCTTTGTCCCTCCAGGAAATAGTCCTTGCTCCCTATTCCTAGTTCCCTTCCCTTTCTCCCTATTCTTCTGTCTCCTGCCTCTGTCCCTCTGGGGAAAATATATCTCCTTTGTTTTGAGAGAACTTGGTCTCAGAGTGTCCTGAGCTGATACCAATCTCTTTACATATAAACTATCCTGAACCGTTGAGATTTAGGATTCTTTGCAGTACTCTAATGGCTTGATCACATGATTCTTGAGCATGGATGTTAATAGATGCCAACATCATATTGCAGTGGCAAAGGCTGGTTATGCTGGGAGGAAGATAGCACCTGGATCAGCCTTTACTGGATCAGCCAGTAAAGACAAGTAGGAAGTACAAAGTACACCATAACCCTGTGTCTAGGGTAGATGGCATTCCAGACTGCTCTTTCAGACAAAGCTATGAGCACGCAACCCCTGTAAATTCATTATTATGGGTCCATGTGTTAGTTAGCACCCACATAATTACACTCTGAGGTAGGGCATCAGCCTTGGGCCACAACAAAGATAACAGCAATAGTTTCAGAAATTATGGGCCTGGGGAATGACAGAGACATAAAGGGTGAAAGCAGAAAGTTTTTAATGAATAGCTGGTATCGGCATTTCCAGCATAAACTGTAATTTAAAGAAATCATAATTCGGCAACATTATAAAGTCTATAATTCATCATTCTGACTGGAGGAACTTGGATCAGAATTTTCTCTAAACTGTAAAGAAAAATGTGCATACGCAGTTCTTGCCAAATGCAAAGCACTGTTATTTTGAGTCTAGAAGGGAAAGAAATGGGCCAGGAGCCATGGGGGTGGTGCCATTTGCTGTGCCATGGTCTTCTAAAGAGACTCCATCTTGCTTCAGCTTTACTCTCTGGCTGCACATTTGCAGATTAGGTCTGTCTGCTTGAACCTTGGATCTGTCTAAAGTCAGTTTACTGTAAAATGTGATTTAGCTTACATTACTTAAAATATACAGAGTTGATATTCCTTTGGACATTAATTAGGGCTGTTCCTGTAGGGCACACTTGTTACATGTGACAACAGTGATTTGGACTCATCTAAACACTTAGGTTTTGCATATATTTAGTAAATTGTAAAGACATGTGGTAAATACAGATGAAATGTTTTTATGTATTCCATATGAGCATTTCATAGATGTGTCTGAAAGGAATATACTTCTCACTCCTTAGTTACTTAGTTATTGATTCTTCCAAGTGCCCATGACAAGTGCTGAAGAAGACACTGGAGATTCAGTGATCTTAAAACAGTTTCTAGTTCAGTGATCATTGTGTCAAGGAGAAGCTAGCAAGTAAATAAGTATGTGAACCATACTGAGGTGAATTCCACAGCAGAGCAACCATTTGCGATTGAGAGGGGGTACCTTGTGCAGGGAAGCATGGGAGTGTCTAGAGGAGCTGAGCTGTTGAGTGTAATTATTTGAAAACCAGGGTTCCTAAGGCTTCAGACTGAAGTATGTACTGAAGTCACCCGGACAGTTATTAAAATACATTGGAACTCACTCCAAGCTCTGTAATTCAGTAAGTCTGGTTATAGAGTCAAGAATCTGCATTTTCAGCAAGTCCCCCGGTGACTGTTTCCTGATGCCAAGATTGCCACACTTGAAGAACTACTAATCTGAACTCAAAATACGGGGAACTCATTCTGGACAACAGGAACAGCCAATAAAAAAGGGTGGAGACAAACCGTAAGGCATTGGGGAAATTGCAGGTAGTTCAGTGGGCTGGAGCTTAAGTTGCTAGATGTAAAAGCAAGAGGAAATGTCAGCCAGACTGCAAGGGACATTAAGGATAAAAGGAGTTTCCATTTTGTCCGAAAAGCCTATTGGAGGCTTTGCAGTGGAAAAGCCATGACCAGAATGTTAGCAATCAATTTAGGAAGATTATTGTTGCCACAGAGCATCCAGATGGGATTTTTGCAGAAAATAGACAGCCAGGTTACAACATGAACCCCATGGAGTGGGACTCTGACTTCTGAGTTAGGGGGAGCCTATAGAAAGACACTTGCACTTGAATGTTCACCGTGGTATTATTCACAGGAGCCAAGAGATGGAAGCAACCTAAATGTCTATTAATAGATAAACAGATGAAGGTGTGTGTGTGTGTGTGTGTGTGTGTGTGTGTGTACACTCACCCAGTACAACATGATACAGCCATATAATGGGAAGTAATTCTGTCATAAGGTACATGGGTTAACCTCAAGGACATTTGAAGTGAGACAAGCCAAGAACAAAATAGACCAATAAAATATGGCTGCTTCTCAGTAACAGGAAGCAGAGCTGAGGTTTCCAGGGGTGAGAAGGAGGAAGGAGAACCTGCTCCATGGATATAGTTTCAGTTTTTTCAAGATGGCAGGATTCTAGGGTTCATGCAACATGCCTTATGGTTAGCACTCCTCTACACTTAGAAAGGGTTAAGATTGTTAACAAGCTAAGACACAATTAGAGGATGATCAATTTAGAGACATGGCCAATTAGAATACAGAAAAACCCTGACTCTAAGAGTACCGCTCCCTGAGGTCAGAAATATGAGGAGGCATGGTGGCCTCTGTTTGGAATGGGTTTCTAAAAGGCATGTGGAGCATACAGTAGAGCCAAGATCACTGTGAGACCCAGCCTTCTATGCTGCATACCATGGAAAGCCATGGCAGTTGAGGAACAAGATCTAACATCCTCCTGGCACCCTGGCTGGAACAGTCAATAGTCAAAGTGAGAGCAGTGTGAAGCTATTGTGAGTTCCAGGGAGGGGCTGGCCCTGAGCAGAGCAGCAATATCAGGGTGATTAGGTTTTGGAGTCTAGATGTACTCAGAGGTGACATGAGTAAGATGAAAACCATAATTCTTAATCTTGGGCCAAATGTTATAAAAAAATGTCTTCTGTAATTATACCTATGAAGTTTAATCTCCCACTTCTTAGTGTTTAATTGATGAATATTGAATACTCCAAATAATTAAAACTGACTACTTTGATATATCACATACTCAATATTGCTCTAGAAAGTTAAGTTCCCCCATTTTCTACATAATAGTTATTTTGATTAGTAAAGACATGGAATCTTTAAATTCCAAAATAGAATGTCTGTTGTCTTGGCTAAAACCTGTTTCCCTTTTCAGTAGTTCTATATCTATAGCAATTATCTTCTTACCACTCTATTGCTTCGGGGCATCTGAATTTTCAGAATTATTCCATGGCACATTGAGAAACCATACTTGACAGGGTGTTGGAGCTGTACTTTTTGTCCATGTATCTATACCCACACGGATGGTCTGTAAACATCTTTTATGGGGCATATATTTTTAACTTGTTGTTCTTACTTGTATTATGTTAGCATAGCAGGGTGGGGAGGCCAGCTGCCGTTGGAAATTCTAATTTTCTTGCTCATTACATTCCAGACCTGTGCAAGGGCCTGAAATATGACTTTATTGTAGGAGGTTGTCCTGACCTGCAGATTCTGCCCCTCCCCGGGACAGTGATGCCTTTGGGACAATTACAGAGCAACTGCAGCCCTCAGCCTTTCATGGTTAAAAATAGTAGTACCACACCCTCTTGTGAGCAGGAGCAAGCCCCACTTAATCCTCTTCTCAATGGGGAAATTCCTTCTGAGAGGAGTAGGCTTTGAAGACATGAGAGTATATTAAACCCTAACCTACCTTCAGGGTCAGTCAGGCAGAGCCTGCAGCAGGCAAGCTACTTTGTTCTGTCTTAAAATAGCACCTGTGACCCAAGTCCAGTCCCGGGTCATACTACTGTCCCTTTATTTCTTGACACACTGTTTTTGTGATAACTGTCCTCAACCCACTGTCATATAGGAGCTGAGAGTCCTGTCCTTTGGGCTTCTGAGTGTTGTCACTGTTAGGGTTTGTAGACATGAACAGGTAGATGGATGGTAGATGCTGCAAGCACACTATCCAGTTAATATTGCTCCCCTCGTTGATTGAAAGGTAGGAGAGAATATTGCTATTTAGTTCCTCAGAACAGGACAATAGATATGAAGATAACAGAGGCGATTTTCTTGTACTTTAATAAACAAATATTTTAGAATGTAAGTGGCTAGCCGTTTTGGGTGTGGCAGTTGGGCTCATCTTTTTTTTTTTTCCAACTTTCTTTTTATTTGTTCTTTGGGTCTTTCACATCATGAATCTTGATCCCATTCATTTTCCTGCTTCTTCATGTCCATCCTCTGCCCTTACATCCCTGCCCTCCCAAAACAAAATAAAACTTAAGAGGAAAAAATGGAGAAATCTTGTCATGGAAGCTGTAGTGTGACACAGTGGGTCACACAGCAAACACTTTTGTCCATGTATCTTTACTTGCAAGTTTTCATTGCAGAGAGTCAATGGTCTGGTTTGAGGACTCTGGTTTCTACACTATCGATGCTGGGCCTTCACTGTAACTCCTCTTGGTTATCCTGTCATTGCCCTGTGTTGTGGAGATCCTACAGCTTTGGGTCTATAGGACTGGCCCCTTCACATGCTCCTGCAGGTCATAGAGGGGTGGTGTTGGGGTGGGCTGACTTATAACTCTGGCTCTGGGCTTATGTAGTTGCAGGGTTGGCCAGCCCTCCAGGTCTCCCCCATCCTCACCACCAGCATTGCCCCCAGCTAGTTCACCCCTTGTAGCAATAAGCTTTCTCAGGGTCGGCTCTCCCACACCTACACCATCAGGGCCAGCTCTACTGTGTTGCCCAGGCGAGATGCAAGGGCCACTTCTCCTGAGTGCTGAAGCTGGTGAGGGACAGCGACAGCTCTCCAGCTCTTATGACCTCAGGGCCAGATCTCCTTCTTGCCACAGGTGGCAAGGGGCAGGGGAGGCATCTCTCCCCCACCCACACCAAGTGGCAGATGAGGGGTGTGGTCGGATCTTCCACAATCACATTCTCCAGATCTTCACTTGTACTCCTGTCAAAAGGGTCAGCTCTACTCTGCTGGCCGCATTCATCTTTAGTACTTTGAAGCCAGAATGCTAAACAGTTCCCATAGCAAGGCTTGGGGCACAGGTCTTCTCTGAGGAACCTCATGGTGCTAAGACTTCAGCCTGTCTACATGGTTCTCTCCATGGCATGCTAGAGCCACTGTGAGCCCATGAAGTTAGAGGAGTAGAGATGCAGTGAGCCAGCTGTGAGGAGTAGAATGACCAGCCATGATATTCCCCAAGGTGGTCTACTTCAGGGTCCATCTAGGAAAATTATAATCACCTTGGAGCAAATAGCACACTCTGACATAAACCCAGGACTGTGGGAGGAGGAAGCAGTTAGAGGTGAAGAAACCTGCTTAGGCCTAGATGGCCTGATAGGCTCCAGGTTGGCCACATTCATAGTCTAAGAGACCAGATCCTTTGAGAAGATCTTGCCAAATGAGACTAATTTAAAAAGCTCAGAGCAAATTTGGTATTGTTTTCTTATTAAGATTTGGTTTTGCCTCTGGCTCTTGTTATCATCTGTTTTTAATTCTTGCTTTCTCCATCTCGTCCAGGCTCGGGAAGATGGCCTAACTGTCATTCAGCCTCACTCCTTGTCCTTTGTGAACTCAAAGAGTCCCATCGGAAAGATTATATACAACATCACCGTACCTCTGCATCCAAATCAAGGTAAGATATGCAGTGAAGTTGTTTTTGAGTGACTGACACTCTTGCCTTGTGATTCTGGACCTAAAACTCTGGGCCTCTACCTGCTCCTTTACACAGTGATAGTTGTGGAGGGTTTGTGAAGGAACTGATAGTCACACTCCATGCTCATGTCATCTGGTTTAGAAGAGTACCAGTTAAGAGGTCAGTCTTCCCACAGGAAGAAATGGAAACATGTAACTTCAGTCAGAGGCCAGGTGGGGCCTGCCCTCAGTCTCCAGCCTGCAGTTACCTTAATGCTGGACTTAACTAACAAGCCTGTGCCCAAGAGAGGTGGTAGGAAGATGAGGTCCACAGAGGCAGCTCTGCTATTGCCTCCCAGACTGCCTTTACTCAAGCAGGAAGCCTCTCATATTACCACATCTGCAAGAAGAAGGGTGTAATAATGAAACTCCACTGCCCTTTGATAAAAGCTAAGGAAATGAAAAGACATTAAGTTGTATCTAGAGCTTCTCCCTATGGTGTGGGCTTTCAGGCTAGTTTAGGATGCTTCTTGCAGAGTGCACCCCTCTCAAGTGAGTTAGTTCAGCACTGAGACCATGTTCTTCTCTCTAAAGACTAAATAACACATGAGAGATGAACACAGCACAGGTTCCATGCCTGCAAAGTTTCTGATTGGCAGCCATGAAGATATTGATCATAAACTGAATGATAGCTATAAGCCTAGGTTGGTCTTAGAATAGTCAAGATCTATGCTTTTGTTGCTAGGATCATCACAGATATGGAGGAGTGTCTGAAATTAAAGGAAGTCTAGAAAAACATTTCTTTGGCAGTAGATCAGTTTGGGCCACTGTCTTAAGGACCACTTGACCTTTGTATCAACAATCAGTTGGAAGTTTCATAGTGACAGTAGTATGTCATTTACTTATGGAAAACCTGGAACTACACATTAGTAGCAGTGACTTGCACCTTACTGTGCATAGTTTATGTTCCCTGGATCCCAGTAAAACTCTCTCCCTCTCTGTCTCATATATATGTGTACACACACACACACACACACACACACACACACACACACACACACACACACACACGCACGCACGCACGCACGCACGTAACTATATATATATATATATATATATATATATATATATATATATCCTTCTATCTATCATCTATCTGTCTGTGTGTACATATTATGTATGTGTGCTCAGGTATGTACAGACCAACATACACATGTGCCCTTAGAGGCCGGAGGTGGGTGTCAGGTGTCTTCCTCACTTGCTGTCTACCTTATTGGTAGAACAGGTCTTCCCAATGAACCTGGAAATTACCTCAGCTGACTAGCCAACAAGCCCCAGAGGTTCTTCCTATCTCTGTCTCCCCAATACTGGGCTTATAGACTTGTGCTCACCCATGGGTGCTGGGGATTCAGCCAGGTCCTCATGCTTTCATTACAAGTGCTTTACTGGCTGAATCTTCTGGCTCCAGATTTGTCTATTTCTTGAGTAACTTGACAGCAGTATCGAAAGAAGAACAGCTCAGGAGCCAGTGCTCCTGAACGACAGACTCCCACTCATGGGCAGGGAGGCAGGGGTTGGTGGGCTGGGCCTTCCTGTCGTCTAAAAGTTGCTGTTTAGCTCATGTCAGTCTCTTCCTTCCCAGGTGCCATTGAGCACAGAGACCAGCCTCACTCTCCCATCCAGTATTTCTCCCAGGAAGATATTAACCAGGGCAAAATCGTGTATCGCCCTCCCGCTGCGGCCTCCCACCTCCAGGAGATCATGGCCTACTCCTTTGTTGGTAATGCTTTTTTCTCTGCCTTGAGGCATCCAAGTCTTTCTTAATCTTCATGACTGGTTCTCCTTCTCTTCCTAAAAACTTGTGTACAGTTTGCTGACACTCCTTTCTCCCTATTCCAAATAACATGGGGCCTATTACTCTGTACATGACCTGAACCCAGTTCTGTCTTCTTTTCATCACTAATTCATGTAATGGGCACACTTTCAGCCAACTTTTATTTAGTGGCTCTGCTATGCCAGTTACTGGTTGAGGGGTGGGAGATAAGTGGAAAACAGATAAGCCATTGACACTGCTCTTGGAGTAATTAGAGGTTGTGCATAGAAACTACTAGGTAAATAGTCACACTAATGACTATTTAGTTGCAACTGAGATGAGATGCTCTGGGAAAAGAAGAAAGGTTCAGTGGTAAAGTTAAAGACAAGGCCTGACCTAGACTGAGGAGTGAAGAGGTGGCTGTCCGGGTCGCCATTGGCAAAATGGAATGAGTAGTAGCCAAAATAGCTAACTGTGCATGTGGGGGTGCAGGGAGAGCATTTCTGGAGGAAGACAGTGTGCTTCCCATGAGGCCTGGGGGAAAGGAAAGTGTATCCTTCTAGGGATTGTAAAAGAGGCTATGATATATGGGGTCTAGCAGAGTAGGCAGGATGGGCCTGACTGGAGAGTAAGGGCAAACTTTACACTCCACAGGAACTTGTAAAGATCTGGGTGTTTAACCTAAGACCATGCAGAACCCAGTGGAAAGTTGAAGCTACAGGGAATGGTTTTCATGAGGACTCTTTCACCACAGTGACATGAGCAGACTTCAGAAGGGTGCCAGACTAGGACCAGGGGAGAATTCATGCAGACATGGAGATTGCAGGTGATCTTCTTGGATGCTGAGTCCTCTTTGTACTGTGGTGATCTCCCAACTTGAACTCCAGGATTTGACAGAAGACAGTTTTAAAAGTTTTCTTTTAAAAGATTGAGTAGAAAAACAAACCGATGACAATTTTGCTCATTTATTAAAGCTGGTGCATACCCTTCCATTGCAGCAGAATAACCTTAACACTGTCTGCCTTCTCTTCCTCCCTTGACCTGGTAGTTAGCACAACTAGGAAGTAGAAGTTGTGATTACCACTCCAAGTTCTGTGCTTTGGACGATTCTAAAAATCTTGGTGTCTGTTTATTATAATATTTAAGGTAGTGTACTATATAACTTTGTAAATACTACTTTTATATCAAAAAGTTTTTCAAACAAAGCAGCTGGTTATTTTGCAGGAAATTGAATATGGGTTAAATAATTATAGGGTTTCTTTTTTTTTATTATGGTAAGTCAACAAACTGGTATTCATCATTATTTAGTATAAGTTCAATTGTCCAGAAAATGATTAACTCCTCAATTAGATTGAAATCTCTAAGGGCAGGAAGAGGCCCCTTCTCTGAGGAGTACCCTTGGAATTTAGTAACTGGTTAACTAATAGTCCATGAAAGTATTCATGGTTCTCTAGTTCCTACTTTGCAAGACCTACTTTACAGGAAACTTGGGCTATCCTGAGATTAGAGAAAAAGAAAACACGTCAGCTGTAGTTAAAGTAATTTCCAAGTCTGCTACACTTGTCTTAGTTCCATGAGTCTCTTTGGAGAGAGTAGAGCTATGCCCTGTCTAATCTATGGGATAAATGCCACAAGATAAATAGCTCACAGTCAGTGTATAAATCAATGTCCCTGCTGTCACTCAGTTTTACAATGGAATTGACCTCTCCCACCCTCACTGACACACACACACACACACACACACACACACACACAGAGAGAGAGAGAGAGAGAGAGAGAGAGAGAGAGAGAGAGAGAGAGAGAGAGAGAGTCAGAGTTATATATAGCCCACAATCACCGTTTTGTAGGATTTTATGTACTGATAAAATAGGATCTGAATGAATGTATTATAAGTCACCCTAACTGTTTAAATGTCCTTTTTTTACTTAAAATTAATACTGGCATCATTAAATCCAGCATTCCATGATCAGGGGACCTCCTGATCACTCCTTAAACCAGATCAATGTGAATTTAAAACACCTTTTACTCCCCTAGTCACAACTCTGTATTTTGTGCCTTGCCCTTCTCTGTCTGATCTCAGAATGTTTAGTACACTAATTTTCCTCTCTCATTCTTTTAGGTCTCCCAGAATCAGTGAGAGTTTACTTCACAGGTAAAGACTTTAATCTCACTTTTATTAGAGACTGGGTATCTCCTTCCCTTTCAGCTTCCCTTTTCGTCTCCTAGAAGTTATGTTGCTTGTTTTCTAAAACAAGTCTCTTCTAAAATAATTATATGGTTAATTAGCCAGCAACAACTTAATTTTGTATTCGCAGAAAGAAAAACCTTCTAAGAATGCCCAATGTTAATGTTACTTGAGCCCTAGTGGAACTTTCTACTTATTGAAAAAAAAGATAATAGTAGTTGAGGCCTTAAAGTTGGGGTCCCACAAACTGGAGTTCAGCCACTCTGGGAAGATTTCCCAATACCTCTGTACATGCATACTTCATGAAGATCATCATCATAATATATGTTTGGCTTCCAGGACAATTGGCATGTGAGCATCTGTGTGTTATACCAACTGAGGCATAGTAGTTATATGGAGTCTTGAATAGGGACATGTATCAAATGCCTTGCCTCTAGAGGGAAAAGTCTTTGGACCCAGAGCAGGAACTGAAAATGCTTCTAAAAGTTTCTGTATCCTAGTTTTGCTTCCTGCTTCAATAGAGGCTGAGGTACCACGGGGAAAGGCATTCTTGCTCAGGTTAGAATGAAGATGGTTAACGTTTAAACCAGCTGTTCAACTGGGATTAACCATTCTGTCAGAACCAACCATCCTTGGTTATTGTATGGGGGGAGAAATCTTGGTAGGACAGAAAAATCTTTTCCAAAGTGCCCTGCATTTCCTTTCTCTTTGAGGGGAAATATCATGCGGCAAATTTCAGTGCTACACCACTGTTGTATGAACCTACTGTCAGCTCATCTCTAGGGAATGGCCTGCCAGTGACACATACAGTCAGTATGCATGAGTGAATCAATTCACAATAAATGTCGTCTTAGGCGTTACCTATCAGAGTTATGAAGATGAGTGTTGTTTCCAGCATTTTCAAGCTAATGATCCTGCCGGCTGCATCCACGTAGCACTGGAAAAGGGCAGAGCAGTATTTAATCTAAGTTCCTGACCTGCAGTATGGGGTAGTTTTGTGTTCTGAGGTATAAGTGAGTAGGTCATGAAAAGCAAGAGAAGTAGCATGCCTCATCCTTTTGACCAGAAAGCTTGAGTAGGTGGAGGGTCAACAGTTAACTTGCCTGTGACCTGAAATTAAATGACCCTTGAGCTTTCATAAGGCTAAAAGAATGGGCCTTGGGCTGACCTTAAACTACCTTTTTTAGTCCAAGATCCCTCTGTTTTCAGGAGGAGGGGGATTCTGTTTTGGGAGAAATGCTTTTACGATCTTTGAAAGGAGTTTTGTGACAAAACTTTGAACTGGACAGCTAATGAACTAAATCAGTAGCCATCCCAAACCCCGACCCGAACCCATGGAATGAGGGTGAGTGGCTCACTGTGGTTCATCTTCTGAGAACAGAAAGTCAGTGCTCCTGACTTGGCTGGCTTTGTGATAAGCACAGGCCCTCTGCAGAACAGTTCCAGGCAAGAAGCACATGTCAGGCAAATGGTGCCTGCAGGAAGCATTTAACCCAAATAAGCAGTGTGACTGTTTCTTAGAAACAGTCCTTAAGAGAGGGAAGATGTATAATTCTTAATATTTTTATTGGCAGTTTTGCATTTGCTTTCAAAACGCTGCAACCATGTGACATGGTTTCTAATTATACCATATTCTCGTAGATAGCTTTCTGCCCCTTAAGAGGCAAGGATGTGTTTGGTGACAGGGAACAACTGTGGTCCAAAGCTCTTGTACTGTTAGCCTTTGCTGGCCTCCACTGTGTAGGGATGTTGAAATCTCCCTGAGCGTTTTCTCTTTAAAAGTAAAACCTATGGAAGCAATAGCAAATATAAGTGTAGTTTCCTAATTATTTCTTTTTTTAAAACACAGAGATTTCTGTTGTGCACTCTGGGACTTCTAAAGGGTCCTGAGTCCACTAAAATTAACAGAAGAGTGTATGTTTGTCCACAGCCTTCAAAGCTAAGAATTACCCAGTCTCTATTTTTATCAAGGAGGAGATTAACACACACAAAGAAACAGCACAATAATTTTCACACTTTACTAAAATGACCAGAGACATAAAACCTTCATTTTCATGTGGGTTTTATCTTCTGTTCTTCCAACTGCCTGTTCAGGCCTTCTCTATGATAAACATGAACGGTGTCTTGTAAAGTTTCAATCATTTAAATCTGTCTCAAGGACAAGACAGACCTAAGGCAACCCTAGTGAGCCAGTCATTATTCCTGAGCCATGCTTTACATTGTTTAAGAGGTCAGATTCCTGCCAACGTGCTGCCAATTCCAGAAGAAGAAAAAAGAAAACAGTTTCCTATGACTTAACCATCTGCAAGTTAAAAGTCATTTAAAATAATCAACAATGCTGTTTTCTCAGTAACCATGGTAGATAGCACATGGATGTTACCAGTATCCACCACACCTGGGTTTAGGGAAGGGAGGGAGAGTTATGGAAAAGGCAGAAATGATAGTCAAGGGTTAGATGATTCTGCTTTCATTTTCCATGGAAGATGGGGTCCTCTTGGATGGCGGTAGGCCAGGGAAACAATGCAGAAAGTCACTATTTTGGATGGTGTCTTCTATTTATGGCCATGGACAGAAGGACAGGGTAAAATGGATCTGCTTACTTGCAACACGTGCTGTGACAGACATGGACAAATGTTCTGTCCTTCCAAAGAAATAATAGGAAGCAGAATCACTCCCCCCAAAAAAGTTCTTAAAGTATTATTCTGGGATAATGAAGGAGTGAATTGATTCAAAGAACCTTTCCATAAATAAAAGCCTTTGCGGGTACCATGTGAGAACTTTAACCTTAGCACTTGTGCTGTTGAGACCAGGAGTTCAAGGTCATATCTGTCTATGGAGTGAGTTGGAGTCCAGGCTGAGCTATATGAAATCCTGCAGGGGGCTTTCATTGTTTTTCAAGTGCTTATTTTACCTTACTTCCCACTAATAAGCCTCAAAAAATCATTTGTGAGAATACCTTTTTAAAATAAATTTGTTAAAAAATTTTAACTTAAAAAATAAATATTCATAATTTTTTAGAAAAGTTAAAAAAAAAGTCTTTGGCTTTGTGAACTCTCACCCTTTACCTTATCCATAGAAAATGCTTTAGTAGACTTGCCCATCATTGTTACTCTTATCTATTTTTAAGCATCTCAACAAGTCACTAAATATTTGTGGAAATAGGGTAAAGGTGCCCAGATTGTAAGTTGATTTATATTTGCACGTATATATTAAATCATGTGGGTATCTGTGTGTGTCTTTTACTCTTACCAGTTTCTGACGGACATCACACGAGTCCAGAGATGGCCCTCACCATTCACTTACTTCACTCTGATCGGCAGCCACCCGCATTTCAGATAAGGGCGCCCCTGTTGGAGGTTAGCCCTGGAGGCCGCACCTCTCTAGGTAAGAACTGGGGGCCTGAGAGAAGTATAGCTCTGGAAATCGGACTGTAGCAGCAGTCCTGTGGAAACTGCCTGATGGCTGCCAAAACCCAGTGACCCCTCTTCCAGAAGTATGTTCACTCCCACCTACATCCATCCTCCTGCCCATTCTTATGCAAATCGAAGCAGTACTGAGAGGAGGAGATAGACCCTTCAGAGGCCAGCCTTGTGATGGAATGCTACCCAGAATTTATTCCCCAGCATCCTGGAGTTTGATTTGTTATCCTTGCTACAATATAAAGTAACAGAGCTGAGAAGAGAGTCGAGGGAGCAGGTGTGAGTGACTGCTTCTGGTTTCTGTTTAGAAAGTGACAGGGAACAAGAGTGACAGATCACAGTGACCTTCAGAAGCTGTGAGGAGCTCCACCTGCCCATATCTCGCATGGTTTTATTTATTTCTAAATGCGCTTATTCTTTACAGTTTGTCGATTCTTTTACCAAGGGCATTGTTTTTATTAGTGATTTGTATTATGTGTACTGTGTGGATCCATATGTATTTTCTACATTGGCTTTTGTCCTGAAGTTAATTATTTAATTTCTATAATTAGATAAAAAATTATGTATAAGCAATCTTACAAACGAGTTATATAGACACTGGTAAAAGTTGGTTTTGGTCTATCCATTGCTTTCTCCATGGCCGGAGCAGCTATCGTGAAACCTGGCTCTTCCAGTAGATTTAGGAAAATAAGAGAAAATGGACAGCAAGACCAATTCATGGGCTATTTATGAAAGACACTAGTTAAGACAGACCTACAAGTAGCCTTTGGTGCTTGCCCTCTTTTGTATGGGAGAAAGGAATATTCTGCATTCTTAGCTACCTCCTCATATGGGAGCTTTAAGAGAACCTACATCTAACTGTTGGGCCAGCCTCGTTCATTCTCTGTTCTCTTACATTCCTCATAATTCTCCATGCTTTATGGTTATGTATTACTCATAGCTGGGTCTGCAGCCTGGTCTGTGGTGTTAATCTATGGAAGCACACAGTTGTCCTGCAGCCAGACTCTCTCTCTCCTTCCTGCAGGCCTGCAGTTGGTAGTGAGAGATGCTCAGATGGTACCAGAAGAACTCTTCTTCCAGCTTCAGAAGCCGCCACAGCATGGCTCTCTCCTGAAGTCCACAGCAGAGTCCTCAGGGCCCATGGCAGCAGGTAGCTGCATCCTCTGAACCTGGCCTGCTTGGGGGAATTTTTTTTTTTAACCTATACAGTTAGTTTTATGTGACCCGGAAACGAAGTATAATGCTGTGGGGGATAAAATAGGAGGAACGCCATTCTTAACTTAGACTTTAGGTTTCTGTTTCCTTAGCGTGTTCTGTGGGACCATGATGTCCCATGACTAGAGACATGCTTCATTTAAAAAAAAAAAAAAGTTCCATGGCTCAAAACCTTGAGCAACTTTAATATATGTGGGTTAAATTTCCTAAAATTCCAATCAAATTTACAATTTAAAATGTAAATATGAATTGCATTTATTCCTCTTTAACACAAACTTCCCACACTATCTGGTATGTTATAGAATAGTACTCTGAGCTATGCAATTTGCACTTTTAGCACCAACGAACAACTCCTATCCCATGCTAGTGTTTAAAATGAGGACCATGCACATGCTAAACAAGTGCCCAATCACTGAACTCTCAGTTCTACTTTCACATTTTGAATTTAAAAAAAAAAACAACTTAAGCCCCCCCAAATTAAAATAATGACTCTGATGGGTCAAAGAGTACTGTCTCTTTTCTTAAGTCTTCAAGACTCTAAGATTAGATTCAGAGGAGCCATCAAGAAGAATATTACCACTTGAAACAAGCTTGTTCCCTAACTAGAACTAATAAATAAATTAAAAAGAAAAAAAAAGAAGAATATTACCATGTTCTTTGGCTTTCTGGAACTGGGAGTGATGACTGTTCTCCCAGGGCTGGACTTTAACTCATTATTTTTCAGAACCTTAAAAAACAAAATACAACAAAACTATCACCCAAGTAATTAGCTCCAGGGTAACAGAGGGAATTCTAAGCTGGGTAGGTGGTTAGACTAATTAACTTGTCCCAGAGTTTATGATTCTACATGCACTTTGAAATCAGGAGAACAAAGGTGCCTGATAAACCAGAAGTGTTATTCCCAGAAGTCACTGGCTTTACAGTTTGGCTGTGTTTCATTCTTGGTAGGTGACACTTTCACATACGGTGAAGTCGAGAGGAATGCTCTGCAGTACGTACACGATGGGTCCTCTGCCTGGGAGGACAGCATGGTGATCTCAGTCTCAGATGGCCTGACAGTGACAACATCAGAAGTAAAAGTGGACGTGTCCCTGTCAGAGAACAGAGGGCCTCGGCTGGCCCCAGGTTCCTCCCTCAGCATGACTGTTGCTAGTCAACGGACAGCCATAATCACCAGGTCAAACCTTGCCTATGTGGTGAGTTCTGGCATTTACTCTCTTGCTCTCTGCCGTTCTGGCTGGCCCACTTAGGAATCTGCACACGGCTGGGTACTGGAGACAGCGAGCGGGCAGAGACAGTGTAGAAGACTCTCTTCTTAGCGTTCTTGCTATTCTCTTTGGAGTCACTGCACATCCTGGCCTCTCCTAGTGTCTCCACAGTAGACAAGTGAATGCCTATCTCTGATGAGGGCTGAGGCAATGGCTCAGTGGAAAAAGCACTTGTTGCATGAATGTGAAGGATGGAGCGCAGATCTGCAGGACCCATGTCAAAGCCATGTGGGCCCAGCAGCCAGTCTGGGATCTCAGCACTCAGGAGGGAGAAGAGCTCCTAGATTAGCTAGCTCGATTAGCTGAATCAGCAAGCTTGGTCTAGAAAGAGACCTTGCCTCCGATGGTCAAGAAAGACACCAGATAATCGAATCTGGCCTCCACATGCTTCTGTAGACACCTGTGAACATGCACACACATACATATACACTACAGACACACACAAAAAGAAGGAAAAACTTAAGATGAAAATACTGGGACCAACCAAGGGCTTGTAATTGTCAAACTGCAGCAATCCCCTTGTCATAAAAGGTCCAAGTCCATTGTTTTCAGTGTGGAATGCAAGAGGTCTACTGGGAGTTTTAGAAAAAGAACAACTGGGAATTTGCCTGGCCAGTGATGAAGAGGTAATGGCTAATCCTGGCTTCCTGAGAGAAAGGTGACTTTCTCCAGCTTGTTCTTGTCCAGATAGACAGAATACAAGGTTCCCCCACCTACCCTGGTGGTGCCTCTCTGTAGATTTCCTAGGGCAGGCTATTGGTCTGCTGCCCATGCCCTTCCCTAAGAGCAAAGTAGTTGAGGAGAAGGGGGAGAACCAAAGACGGTAGGGACTTCCCCTGTGTCTGGCTCAAACTTGATTAAGTGATCTTGGTAATTAAACTCATCTGCCTTCTTTGATTCTGCATCTGGGGCAAAGGATAATGAGGATAATTAATTTTATTTTGCAGTTATATATGTTGTAAAGAGATGACTACTGTCTATATAAACATAATGATGATGAGTTGTTGTGCTTTGAAAGGAAGGATAATTATTTGAATGGTAATCATTCTTCATATTGAATTTTTCCTTCACTGGCCTCAAAATTCCAGTGAACAGCCTGTCCCTACGCCTTATTTTTAAACACCGTATGGTTTAAGTTATCCTTTTCACCAGGCAATTGTGGCACATGCTTTTAATCCCAGCACCTGGGAGGCAGAGGCAGGTGGAGCTCTGTGTTTGAGGATAATCTGGTCTACAGATCGAGTTCCATGACAGCCAGGGCTACAGAGAGAAACCCTGTCTTGAAAAACAAAACAAAACAAAATTTTCCTTTTCTGGGCTGAAGACTCTCACTGAAAAGTCCAGTTCCAAACAGTAGGCACTAGACCAAGCACAGCCGATTGTTTTCTTCTTTAAGCTATCTTTTCTTAAATGATAAGAAAGCAAACACCACTTGAATCCTCGTGTGGGTATACTACAGTATCAGCAAAGTTCTGATGGTGTTTAATTGGCAGATTATTTTTTATCATATGTTATGGTCCTTTGATCCTGTAAAAGTCATAAATTTGTAAAAATGTATGAATTCGGATTTAATCCATACATCACCAGGCTTGGGAAATGTTTGGCAGACCGAAGTTGCTCTCCAGGAAGAGCGCCTACCCATTAACCACCCATTACAAGCTGCCCATCAGAATGTGAGCTCATTGGCAACTGAACGTATATTTTCAAAAATTGATTGAATGTAAATTTACCCAGCAGAGCAGAAAGGGTTCAGGAAACTCTTCTAGCCTGCTGAAAGTGCAGCATGGCGTGCATTCGTGAAGACATGGGCAGGATGCATACATCTATTTCTGAAATGCTGAAGATTTGGGTAATGGAAAAGCCATCTGAAATGGTGGTCATAAGTGGACCAAGTACAGCCAAAACAGCAACCAAGTCTCCTTGTCATTAGATCGTGGGCACCAGGAGGAAGATGAGAGGGTGGTGGGGAGTAAAAATGGTTCCTCTGTAAGGCTACATTATTTTCCAGTCTCAGACAGGACCTCAAACTAGGTAGATAACCAGGGATGAGCTTGAACATATGGTAATTTCCTGGTTCTGCTTCCCAAGTGCTGGGATTATGGGTGTGCAATACCACACTTTTTGTATGCCACACGGCTGTATGCAGTAGCAGTGATCAGTACTTCATACATGCTAGGCAAGCTCTCTGCCAAATAAACCACACACACACACACACACACACACACACACACACACACACACACACACACACCAGCTCCCTCAGTATATGTGGGTTCTAGAGTTTGAGCTGATAAGCTTTAATTCTCTCTTGTCTATCTAGATAGAGTAGAACGGTCATTGACAAGTTGTTTAAACACTCTAGCCTTGATTTTCTTGTTTGTAATATAAGAAGGATAAGCTTAATATTAAAACATGAATAGCATTTCTATATACCATCCAAAACTGAAATAATTCAACATATGATATGTTAATGTTATTACATATCAGGTATCTGGGAATCAATTTTAACAAAATATATGTAACTTGCAGGGAAAATCCAAGTTCTAACCAGCTATGTAGAAAACCAAAATGAATTAATTTCCTGATTAAAAAATATAAAAGGAGAGGAGGAAACAAGGAGGGAAAGGGAGCCAAGAATGGTGGCCCACACCTCTGATTACAGTACTCAGAATTCTAGTAGGAGAATAGGAGGCTCTTGAGTTTAAAGTCAGCCTGGGTTACATTTTAAAAAAGTGTCTCTAAAATATAAAAAGAAAAGGAAGAAACTAAGAAAAATCCCCGCAAAACTGGAGGTTTTTTATACCCCAAATATTCTTTCAAGTAATGTACTAATCCATATTTGAAAATTCAGTCCTTGGGAGGCAGAATCAGGCAGATCTCTGAGCTTGAGGCCAGCCTAGTCTACAGAGTGAGTTATAAGACAGCCAGAGCTATACAGAGAAACCCTGTCTCAAAAAATCAAGTTAATAATAACAAAGGAAGAGAGAAACAAAATTAAGAGTGATTAAAGGGGCCAAAGCAGGATTTTAAAAAAGTACATATAACTTAATTATTTGTGTATGTATTCCTGTGTGTTTGTGTGCATGTGTATGTAAGTGTGAACATGTGGAGACCAGAAGACAATATTGAGTATTTCTGTTTTTGTTTGAGACAGTATCTCTCACTCACTTAGGACTCTCCGAATCGGCTAGGCTGGCTGGTCAGTGAGCCTCTGTCTACCTCCTCGGCATTGGGATTATAAGCATGTACCACCAAATATGACTTTCTTTAATGTGGGTTCTAAGGATCAAACTCAGATTGGCAAAGCAAGCACTTTCCCAACTAAGCTACCTTCCCAGCTCTAAAATTAACTATTATCTAATTCTAATGTTGAGCGGTAGGCTCATGGATGAATATATGTGGACTAAATAATTATTTATATTCACTATAGCTACATATTACATGTTAATTTATTTAGAATGATTAAGAAGAATAAAATAAAAATATGAATTCATCCAAAATGAACATGAAGGTCTTTGAACAGGGATATTACATGAGAACATGTTCTGTTTTCTTACGCATTTTAATAAACTCACAATCGCTGATCTAAAATAGTGATCTACATGAGAACATGTTCTGTTTTCTTACGCATTTTAATAAACTCACAATCTCTGGGCTGATCTAAAATAGTAATCTTTTTTTTCCAAATTATGACAAGGTATTTTCAGAAGAAGAAAACAATAACTGATTTCTCACATTTGAAACCCAGAAATTTTTTGAAAATGAGAGTATAATAAAATCATGCCTGGCACATAATAAGCATTTCTTAGCTGGATTTGCCAGTGTTTGAGACTGACGCTCTTTATTCTAGGAATCAGGTACCCTGTTCTTGTTGTTCTCACATCTCAGAAGTGGGTATCTGAAAATTCTCTGTAGTCTTTGGAAGATCTACCTAAGTGAGAACTCACAGGAATAGTAGGTGGTAACTCTTTGGAAACCAGTGGTTTTTATTTAATCCCTCCCTCAGAGAAAGGAGAAAACAGTAAGATTACTGTGTGTTCCTCTTCTCTTCTGGGCTCGTGTCAGGAGAGCTGAGGCAATTCTGTGATGCTGCATTGAGGACTCTAACTATAAAGGGAAAGAAGGCTGCCCCCAGGGATGGACATGACAAGGACCTGGACCTTGCTTGTCTGCCTACCTCATATTTGCTCACATTTCCTTTCCCTCACCAGCTGCACGGTGTAGCCAGGAAAACTTGCATTTGACACTAAAATTGATCATGCAACATTTGCTTTCATTGTTGCCGAAATAAAACAGAGTCCCCATTTTCACAGTGAACTCCTCTAAAAGACAGATGACCCAGGAAAACTCCAAAATGACATTGCCTGTCTCCTAGACATTTCCAAAAATATGCTTGAAGAAAGGGGAAATTGCTTATGAAGATATTCTGTTATTGTTGGTGTAGACACACAGAAAGCTGATTTTATTTCTCAATAAACAATAGAGGAGAAGGAAATGTTCTTTGGTAAGATTTAAGTGACCGAGGCAGTAAGGATCCATTGATTCAGTCATCATGGAAGGAAACCCACAGGACTTCCTACATTCTTTCATTAATCTGAATTTTTGTCACATTGGCATTACTTGGAGTAAATCATTGGCTTAAGTAAATTCTGTTCCACAGAGTTTTGTCATTGTAGAGTGTATTATATACTATAATGGAATTTTGTGTATTTCTAAAATGTAAAGTGTTTTTGGAAACTGCCAAGAAGCCTCCTCCTGTGTTTCTAGAATGACGAGTTAGAGCTGGCCATCTTGTCTTCTGTACTATGTGCATGTAATAAAAGCAGACCCTTATGGCTCTTACAGAACCAATAAAATATCTCTTTTTTTACTCCCTATACCATAAGCGCATTTCCCCATCATTACCTTGAACTATTCTTCCAAGAAGACATTATTTTCAGAGGCATTTGAAGAGGGATAAATACTGAGCTTTTGTGGAGTTAGGAGTGCCATTGCTTTATGGTAGGGGGCTGCTGCCTTTAACATGAGGGAAGTGAGCCCCTGTGCTCTCTGCAAACTTGCGTTCATGTCCTGACTCATATTTGCCTGGTTAGGACGATTCTTCCCCTGACCCAGAGATCTGGATTCAGTTAAGTTCTCTGCCCATGTATGGTGTGCTCTTAAA